GTGCACATTATGCTTATTATTCGTTATTTATATACCCATGAAAGCTTCTACATTTGAATTAGACGAGCCACGAGAACTTAATAGTGAAGGGATATACTACTCTAAGACCAAAGAAATGCCTAAGATAGTGCAGAAAACTGAGAAACTGAAAATACCTTGAATGTTATATTAGCACATGGTTGGAGAGTCTGAGTCCCAAACGCGACATTACACACGGAATAAAAGACCGGACAGGTGAAAAACCAACATGACAAAACTCTAATGGCAGATTACTTTAGCTGTTACCTTTGAGTCGCAAAGTGAATGCAAGCAAGCTTAAAAGAACTTCCTTCAGTCTGTCCTTAGACTGTGGATCAATCAAGTTTCCATTGCTGTCAAATTTTGCTGGAGGTGCAAATGCATTCAAGTGAAACTCGGGTTTGTTGATGAAATGAAGGTCAAGATAAATTCCAATTTGGCGAAGATGGTACTGTGCTAGCCCACCACCAAAACTTCCTCCAGTGCTTACAATGGCAGCAGCTTTGTCAGCCCAGCAGTTTGGTGGTCTAGATGCCCAGTCAATTGCATTCTTCAAAGGTGCTAGCAAATGGGAGGAAAAAGTAACAGTAGATCAAAATCCTAATCGTTGAGTAAGATGAAATCATTCAACTCAACTTTCCTAGTCTGAAATAAAGCACTTTATGGCCAGTCCCGGTGAGTAAAAATCCAAGTTCAACAGATTCCTATGAGCTCATATGCAGGTAAATGCTAATCCCAAAAATTGTCGATACCATCTCATACATGTAGCGCACTGTGTGTGTTTATGTATGTATTCATGTACATGTACTAGTACAAAAAACAGAGAGAGAAGGGTACCGTACCGGTGACGGAATAATTGTACTCAGGCGAGGCAAAGAGGACACTATCAGCTTGAAGAATCTTCTGCCGGAAAGCTTCAACAACAGGTGGGAAATTACCATCAACTTCAAGATCAGTGTTTAGCATTGGCAGTGGTGAAATATCTATGTACTCAATCTCCATGCCTTTCACCGAATCCTTACTTATCTGAATTGCTGCAAAAATATCAAAACCGCGCCTCAAAAATCAAACCAAGACTCCAAATT